GACTTCAGGTCCTCGATAACGATCTCACCATCCTGGAAAATAAAAATGTGAACTTTACTATCAAAATGAGAATAAAATGAAATAAATCAAGTCTTTCCCCTTTCTGTGCGTACAGTATACATCTATTCCAGGAAGCATTGTCGGTCGGAGATCTAAGATTTGAAATCTGAGACCAAGTAGCATGCTGCAAAATGTAATATATTCACAGCTGAAAAATGTAGTTTCCTTTTAGATCGGAATATGAAGCACAACCTTGGGCTTTTTATCCATCTTGATTTCGTAGGAAGAAATGAGAGATGAGGTAGGGGGTAGGGGAGCAAACACCCTACCCCCCCCCCCCACCCCCATTCTACATGCTATAATCCCCCATTTGCCGTCAATCTTGCACTGGGCTTTTTTACTCGTCTTGATTTCATAGGAAGGGATGACAGGGGGGAGTAAGGGGGTGGGGGCAAATACCCCTCTCTCTTTAGGGTCCCTGTTCTACATGCCCCTTAGCATGACAACTGTTAACTATACCTACCCATTTGCCTTCAATCTTGCACAGGGTTTCTTTACCCATCTTGATTTTACCAGATATGTAGTTAGACTCGCCACTCTTTTTCCAGAATGGCTAAAAAATGCATTAAAAATACTTAGAAATGAAATATGTACCAAGACGGGCATGATTTGTGCCCCTTTGYGTAAGCTAAGAGGGGTTGAAAGGTACGTCGGTGGTGAGTTGGCCGTCGGGCGGGTGTCACAGTGAGTGTCAGACGAGTGATGTGCAAGTGTCAAGCAATTGTTGGGTGATTGTCAACCTGCACATGTAGGCTGGTCATAAAGTATATGATTATTATGCAAGTCTATTCATAAGGATGAACACAAACCTTGAGTTTGAACTCTATTTCAGCTTTATAACCAGTCTTCTCACAGTTGATGGTCACTACTCCACCCAGCTCAAAAGTCAGAGTGCCAATCAATATACCTGGAGAGAGAGAGCAATAATAATTTAATATCATATAGACATTGAGTATCTTACTGGGAAAACATCACTTTGTATTTTCACTTGCATACAAACTACATCCGGGACTTTAGTGACATATTTTTTGTATCCTCACTAATGAAGATATCAATGTTTTTACTCTGCCCGTGAAACAGCCTCTGGGCTGATCTAGGTCAGGGGACAACATACATGTCCTTTTTCGAGTTCCAAGTTACCACTGTGTTCCTTGATTACAGACTCATTTACTCAGGGTTAGCCTCGTATCAGTGTCTAAATATTCACAAATACCAACAGTAAAGTAAAGAATGCACAACTTTAACAATACAAACGCTTTGACATTCCACGGACCTTCACTGGAACATGTGAATATTATACACAAAGTTAAGGCTAACCCTGAGCAACAGGGAACTCAAAACTGGAGTATTCCACTTACCTTTGCAGTGTGCATAGGGCATGTCCATGAGGTACTCCTCTCCATACTTGAGCAATGTCAGTGATGCATTGCCATCCAAGATAGCTGAGGTTGAATTACCTGTGGTTTGACGTTTACAAGTGAGAAGAATAGAATCTATAATCTTATTCTAAAGAACACGTCTCATTCTCTAGAGTATCATTTGTTGTTGTTTAATGGTTGCACATGAGAAGACACATGAATATGGATACAACTCAAATAAAGAATCTTATTCTCAAGA